CCCTCCTCCGGCCCCATCAGCACCAGCGATTCCCTCTTATAATCCAAATGCCTTTGGTCCTATGCCCGGTGCCCCTCCGGTTGCGACGGGGATCGACACGACCGCGTGGGGAGTGAAATTCAACCACCACCATCAAGCCCATTCCCCTCCCCCTCCGTTGCCTGTGAGTGCTTCAAACGATCTAACTAGAGCGATCCTAGATTTCCATGCTGACAGACTACTGCTTAGCCTCGTCCTCCCATCGCAACAGACAATGTCCTGGCGCGCATCCAGTCTCCTCCGCGAGTCGATTCTCCGGCGTCGAACAAACCCTTGCCATCTGTCCCGCCGTATGGAGACCAAATAGCACCCGGACAGTATAGCTATGGCCCTGCGCAGACTGTCGGTCCTGTACCCCCGCCGCCGCCCCCGGTTCCTCTTGGTTACCAGAGCCAGCTACAGCAGCAGGCGCATCCACCTGCACCTGTCGCATCAGACCAGAGTGGCGCCGTTAACTATACAACATCTTCGCCATTGGAACTTCCGTTGCCTCAACCTCCGTTAGCTGTCGCGACAGATTTTGGACCGTCTCCCAACACTGGCAACGGCCCTCCACCAGTACCGCCAAAGACTAGCTCTAATGTATTCACTACAAGCTCTAGCATGGGACTTTTCAGTCCTTCGGACTGGGAACATCTGGGTCCAACTCCAGAGTACATTGACGACACAGAAGTCTTCGCGTCCAAGAAAACAACACCGGTACCTCCAGCCGAACCATGTCAAAGTCATGCGACATTTATGCATCGCCCCGCGTCAAACCCTTACATTCCAACTTCTACCCCGCCTCAGAGCGTCTCACCTGCGTTACAGGTCTCGCATGTCGATGATCAGGTCGGAATGCAGAAGCCATCTACTGAGTCGCCGATCAGCACAAGCTCTACGCAGGAGCTACCACGTCCATCTGGTCCGTCCCGGGTCAATACCGCTGAAACTATGCAGAGCTCTGCTACTGGGACCACCGAAAAGATTGATGGGCTAATTGAGGCTTGGACTCGACCAATCTCTCCGGATTCCAGGAAATCTGCGAACAGCAGCCGTCAGAACTCCCTTTCCAGGCCAGCAGATAGAACCATACAACGTAAGCCGAGTCCGATTGGCATCCCGACATCAAGGTCAGGAAGTACAACCCCCGCAAAGGATGGACAGCAACTGTCTACGCCTGACAATTCGACCGCAAACGCAGGAGGCGCCACTCGTCTAACTGTGGTCGATCCATACGAGGACTTGGATCCTTGGTTCAAGTCTTCTTTGACTCGTTATGTCGCCATGTTGCGCAAGGAAGCGGTTGCCGACTCCGACGAAGAGAGGCACAAAATTTTCACAGCGTTCACAGCCAAGGAGATGAAACTACGGGAGATCCTTTACGGTGTTGAACATGAACCTAAGAGTCCCAAGGGTGAAGATGTAAACCCACGCCAGCCAACACCAAGCCCACAGCAATCAGCGGAGAAGGAGAAGGAGAAGGAGGATCAGCCGACGCCACAGTCCTCAGCACCAGTAGAATCCGGTCTAATCCCGGTAGAATCAGAGCAAGATGTCCCTGAATCTACTTACACCGCTGAAGATTTCGAGAATGGAGAATACAGTCCCGGTGGACGGCCAATTATTCCCGGGCTTTACACTCCCAATAATCTGGAGAGGCCAGCTACACAACCACCCGGCCATCCAGCTTCGAAGCTCACAGATACGGGAAGTCAACAGGGCGGCCAAGATCAGTTCTCGCGGTCATCTTCAGTACCCCCTTCGATGAACAGCGAAATACATACGCAAACGTTTGCGCCTTTGACGACAAATCCTCCACAGCCAATCTATACGCCATTCTGCTACATTGAAGGGCCTCAGCGAGGCTCAGATGATCTTGCGCTTGATAAGCCGGCTTATCAAGCATACTCTGATCTGCGACAAGCCTCTGCTGAGAGCGGACGTGTGATGGCAAATGCGCCGGATTCCGATACAAAAACAGGTGTCAATACTAGAGTTTCCTCCCCAGCCAATAACGAGCACAGTGAAACGTTTATCGGGCTCATTCGCGAGAAAAGCGTCACCTATAAGAAGAGGAGACCTCGCAGAGCATCGTCACCTCCGCCGTTGCCGCCGTCTCTCCGGCAAGGTAGACCCGACCCTGTTAGTGACCTGCGTTCTATGGTCTCATCCCCCTTAGCCAAGCAATCGGAGAGCTCGTGGCATATTACTACCAAGAAAAGTCTGGAGCAGTACTCCGACGACTTTGCTTATATACAAGAGGCGTTTAGTACGTGGGAGACGACTGCTAAAACTCGACGGCAGAACCTTGATAAGGAACGTATGCAGCGTCAAGAGGAATCTGAAGCACACGTCGACTCTCTTTTCAATGGCAAGGAGATCGGATATGCCGATATCAACGTTCTCGAGGAAGAATTCAGACAAGCAGAAGCTCGAGTGCAGCTTGGTGAAGAAAGACAAGAACTCGACGATTTCATTAAAAACGTTTTCAACCCATTGGACGAACGTCTGGGTCGGGAGATTACTGCCCTTCTGAATCACTACGAGTCTGCACTCAGCCAACTCAGTCATGAAAACAGCAAGATCAAGGATTCGGGAGACAGACACAATCTGTCACATACAATGAATATAGTGAACGACATCTACCGGAATCTCGAAATGCGCTACCAGAAACGCCTCAACACTGCTTTTGACCGAGAGCGGCGCCGAAAGAAGGCCGAACGGAGACCGCTTGTATTCATGGGTGACTCCGCGGCCCTCAGGAAGCTGGACAATGAGTTTGACCAGATGGAAAAGCGAAACATCTTTGAAGCGGCCAAGGATCGTGACGAGAGAGCCAACCGACTCATGGATGCTTTCGATGATGCTATCATGCACGGTCTAGGCGAAAACCAAAGTCTCCTCGATGATGTATCGGCGAAGGTGAAGAAGGTTGACGCTTCGCATCTTCAGTCGACTAGCTTGTCGGGGTCTGAAGTAGAGCAGATTCTGAAATCCGTCTCGACTATGGTGGACTCTCTCCGACGAGACTCTGAATCCATTTTGCATAACTTTGGCATCGCCGATTCCACCCTCAACAACGCTGACTACCGCCTTTCCGTTGCCGAGGCACGTTATACGAACGCTGATCACGATGTTTTCCGTCGTCTTAATGCCGAGAAGCAGAAAGAAGATGCGAAGATCCAGAAAGACCTCGAGTCGAAGCTAGAGAGTGTTCAAGATGGGCCTGCTGAGGTCACTCACAAGATCAACGAGCTCCTTGGAGCTTTAGGAAAAGACCCGGTGGCCGAGCCAGAAACGTCATCTGATGCGCAAACGTCTTCCAGTCATCCTGTCGATAGTTTGATGCCAGGCTCCCGTCCTGCTACTGCTGGTCCACTATCCAATGAAGACTCAGAACATCAGCAGCGGATCCGAAGGGCCTTGGAAGCAGCAAAGAAGAGAAATGCTGCCAAAGCGCATGGTACTATGGCATTGCAGTAATACAATGTCTACTTTGATATCCTTCCTATATCGTTTGGTTGTCTATTATTATTTCTGTCCGCGGTCTTGTTGGGCCGGCTCATGACTTGACGAATTTCCTTTTTATACCTTCCTTTGACCAATTTGCTTTCATTTTCTTACGATGTTCATAGCATACATCGCAATCCAATAATGTGCCAATATAGTGGGATCGGTGGTAGTGACATTCGGGATTTGTCGATGACATATAATAGCATTGATGGCCAAAGAGTGAGCATCAGAGAACATTTGCATAAGTGATACATATTATAGTTGTAATAATACCATTTGTTTCATAATATCAGTGGAAATGTTTCGTACTTTGGTCTTGTGTGATATAATAATAATATTTCAGCTGAAGTCTTGAGCCTCAAACATGCACAGCTCCTTTTAGCTCCCACTCATGCTTCTTCTGTCAACCACTTCCACTTCCACTTCTAGATGAATCGATTTTAAAACTAGAAGAATTCTTATCTCTAGTGACTCCCCGTCCACTCGAATTACTCATTTCACCATCTCTCAACATCAGCACGGTTCTTTCCTTAAGCGGCCGCCAGCTCAAACGCCGCCAGGAGTCGACTCAGAGGGTTCAAAACCATGACAGGTATATTCCATTGCTCACTAGATACTCTCTTCCCATCAAAACCGCACTATGCTATGCCGACTGCTGACCTTTTTGTTCATTCCAGGTTTGATTGTCCTTCGCCGTCGAACGTCCACTACTGTCTACCGCTCGGCCCCGAAGAGAACTGGAAGCAACGCGGAACTCATAAGACGATAACATTGAAAATAAATATCGAGGAGAGGGAAAGGGCAATAATATGGTGGTATACAGACGCCAGGACGTCGATGAAAGAGGGCTCGGATCCGTCGGACAGCACGGAGTCTTGTTCTAATCCAACCGATCATTGACCTTCAGCATTGAGATATATATATCGCCAGATATATACATCATTCCAACAGTAGCTGTAATTTTCAAGACATCAGGCTGACGGTTGTCTGCTGCGCTGCATCGCTATGCTTGCACGAACTCTCGGCGCGCGCCATCGCAAACCTCCTGAACACAAGATCGATCGAAATCAAAACTCTCAAGCCCTTCAAGCTCACACTATGAGGACACCCTATAGGGATCAGCCCTTTTTAATCGACCTTGGCAAAGGAATGCGTTTAAATTTACTTTATTGTGCTGATTATTGACGGTGCACACGCATCCGATACTCCCGGCTATAGTCGCTCGCGGTTCGCGGCGCGCACATACTTCGCAGTGGCATACTTAAAGCAAACAGAGTATGCGAGCATCTCCAATGGTCTTTCCAGGGCTACATGCTAATCATGTGGAATAGCCTAGGGATTTTAAACTTTGGTGGGGGTGAAATTTCCCTGGGTTTAATTTCCCAAGGGACCATGATTCCAAACCATTCCAGATGGCATACGATTTACCTTTTTTTTTTTTTTTTTTTTCTTTGTCCAAAACGATTCAGGTCCACACGCGTCATGGTCGTCGCTTTTGCCTCTCATTGGCAAGACGTAAAAAAAAGCTTCAATTTGGAAGCAGTCACGACTCGTTCCAACACATGGCATTGCTGGGATAATATCTGTCGAACCAAAGACTCGGAACCACACAATGGCTTCTTTGTTAAAGATCTACCAAGCAGGGACATTGTTCGGCGCGGCACTTCCAAATATTACGCAGTGTTGTCTTTTAAATGCCGTGTTTGGACTTTCGGTTCCATGGTTCCAGCTCATTTCGTTGAATTACCATCTCCATCCTAACCATTGGTTTTGTGGCATTGTTGGTCCGTTGATGCGAAATTCGTCCCTCGTGTGCGCTTGGCAGCTTGTTATTTCCGTTTGTTCTCGATTCGTGATCATGCAATGAAGCCGGGGGCGCTCCTGCGCCCGAGCATCTTGAAGGATTCGTGAAGTAGTTAATTATGCACTTCTCCCCTCTTCTTTTTCACTGGGCCAATATGGTGTTGGGGGAACTATTTGAATCATAGTACCCGCTCTCATCCGTGGTTCGGGACAAACTCTATATATTATCGGGTTGGCCATCGCAGAATCCACGGGTCACTGAACATTTTCCCTGGAAATCTATCTTTCGAACCAAAGTTACCTGGAATTACATAACGTCTGTGCCCGATGTCTGCTCCTACGAAACAGTTTCACAAACTTTCCATCGGCGGCAATATGCCAGACAGACGGACCCAAGCTGAGAGGAGGGCAGCGGGTGCGGGATCGCATCGCCCCAGTGACGACGACGATGACAGTGAACTCATGCAGATTTCCGGTGAAAGCGAGCAAGCGGAAGAAGAAGGGGACGAGGAAGAGGACGAGGACGAAGAGGAAGACGTGACGGAGTCTTCACAATCATCCACCCTTCAAGCGAGGTCGGGTATCACTTATGACCTTGCCCATCTCGACCCCGACTCAGAGGCCAGGGCCCTCCTGGGTCTCACGGGCAGATTCGACGTCATTCACTGCGAGTCGACACAGACAGGCTACGATTTTCGACTGTCAGAACGGCCACAAGTGCATATCGGTTCGGATACTTATACGTGTACCTGTTCTGCTTATCAAAGTCGTCCCGATGTGGCCTGCCAGCATATTTTTGTAAGCTTTCCCCCCTTTTTTCAGAAACGGAACGAACGAGACAAGGAATGAAAAAAAAAAAAAAAAAAAGAAAAGAAAAGAAAAGAAAACAATAGCGGGACGGGGATGCTGATGGTTTGTTCGTCTTTGCAAGTGGCTTCTTGATCAACTTCACGGTTGCTTCATGCCCCAACCTCCTTCCTCTGATGTGCCCTTACTGAGCAACGGTCATTCGCCGCAATTCCCTCGCGTCGAACACCTCCTTGACGGCAAACTGGAAATGGTGGCAGAGCAGCTGAACTGGCAGTACTCGCGATCCGAAGTGGAAGGGGGTATGAGCCGTCCGCAAAAGGCCCGCGACATCATGTCAGCCTTCAGCACGGTCATACTCCCCGAGGACTTCCGTCTCGACCTGGTGGAGGACACAACACAATCTCGCACCCCAGAGCAATGCGTCGTCCAGGGGGACTTCGAAGCCACCATGTTCCGGCTAGCCGTGCACAACGACGAGGTCTACGCCAGCCTATGCAAAGCGATGCCCCCGGGGGCCTGCGCGGCCATCTATTTCGATAAGGTTCAGGAGAAGACGCGGAAGCTACTGGCGGATTTCGATCGATACTGCCTCACGGGACAAGTCCCGGCCGCCGACGGGACCGACACGAGCCTGGACGTCGATGCCGTTGTCAACGATTTGCAGCGGAATGTCGATCGAATCCAGGCCAATATCATCGCGCGCACACCACACGGCACAGAAGGCGCCGCAAAGACCCTGGTCACAATCCTGGAGGACATCTGCAATCGCGACAAGGATGCTTTGGACGGGAACCGCTGGGGCCGGGCGTCGTTCAACGGCGAGGACGAGGACCAGCGCAATCTGTACCACCGGTTGGTTGGCAAATCGGACGAGACGGGCGAGTACTTTGTTCTAGACGCGCTGGAGCACATACCGGCCACGGACCTGCAACAGTTCGGAGACAAAATGAGCGCTATTCTCCACCGGAACGAAGTGAATCGGGGCCCCAAGAGCTACATCCTCAAGCTGAACGCGCTAGTGCGCCTCGCCGAGTCTGCATCGTCCGGGTCCGGGCAGAAACGACCTGCTACCGCTACGACCGGGGGGAATAGTAAGCGGACGAGATAGGTGATCTTTCTTTTCTTGGTTCCCTTTTTTTTTTTTTTTTTTTTTTTTTTTTTTTTCTTTTCTTTTCTTTTCTTTTCTTTTCTTTTACTCAGTGTTCTTTTCTCATCTGAGTTACGAGTGTGGATGCGCAGCTGGCTTTTCCTTTACGATTTTATCAATACCCCTGCCTTGTCTTTGATTTATTACCCTGGGAGGTCTTTTGATTTAAGCTACTGCTAGTGCATATACCAATATAACATATTGACAATAGTACGACTGGTCTGGACCGTAGAGAAGACTCCCCTGAATGAAATTATCTCAATATACTCAGTGTACTAGACCATGCCATTCAATAATACAATCCTATCATTATGGGAGTGCTGTACACCTTCACGCACAATGCGCACCAAATCCACGGCTCAGTTACCCAGCGCCGCGGTTAAAAGCATCCCGAACCGAAGAATTCTGAACTCTCTATACGCCGTATACGCGCCTCTTTGCATTCTACTTTCTTTGTCCGTACTTTGTCTCCGATTCCAATTTCGATATCCAAAAAATAATACTACGCCATAGCGGAATGGCGCTCGTTGATCTCCCCCTTCCCCTGCCAGCGCAAATGTACGGGACTATTCTTGGCCGGGGGGAATAGCGTGACGGATCCACGTACTCGTATAAATAGAACCATTGCTAGTTAGGTGAGGATGGAGTTACGTAAGAGGATCAAGGGTCACCCTGTTTAGTAGGAGTCTCTATGCTATGCATTGGGGTGTGTATATTGGTATGGTTGGAGAGGTGCGGTGCCGAGGTCCGTTTTGGAAATGGTGTGTAGGTGCAAAGAGTGGAATGTTTTCTCAACAGTCGGCCGGCTGGCCCAATGGTAAGGCGCTTGACTACGAATCAAGAGATTGCAGGTTCGACCCCTGCGTCGGTCATTCTTTTTGTTTTTTTTTCTTCTCTTCTACATGGTATATATTTTTGCTCAATGCTCGTAGAAATTCAATTGCGCATTTAGTCATAAAGTGTCCAAGGTGAATGCATGCAATCAAGACAAATCCAAAACAACTCGTCCCTGCACTTTACCCTGCCCCATCTCCTCAAAAATGCTCGTCAAAGCATCCATCTTCTCCGTCCGGCAGTGTGCCTTGATGATACCCCTAGCCGCAAAGTTCAGCGTCTCAATCGCATCCGTCCGGTTTCCAACAGCTGACCCCGTGATCGTCTGGTGTCCTATGATCATACGTCCCGGGAAGGCAGTCGCAATAGCCTGCTGGTCTCCCTCGGGAACACCAACGCAGACCATCGTCCCATTGAAGCGTAGGAAGCCCATAGACTGGGCATACGCGACATTGGCCGAAGTACACACTACCACGGCGTGAGCACCCAGTCCATCGCTTAGCGATTTAACATGCTTGGCGATGGCTTCGCCCTGGTCGTCTCTGGGGAATTGAGTGACGTCCACGAAGTGCTCGGCGCCGGATTCCTTGACTAGCTCTGCTTTGCTGCTGTGGTCGACTCCGATCACGCGCAGCCCCATGCCTCTGCTAGCGAGCTGCACGGCCAAGTGGCCTAGGCCACCGCCAGCCCCGGAAATGACGACCCACTGACCGGGGCGGGCGTTGCTGCGTTTCAGGGCGGAGTAGACGGTCACGCCTGCGCAGAGCATGGGGGCTGCTTGTTCGGATTCGAGGTCGTCAGGAATCGGGGTGACGTAATGGGCCGGGCCTAGGGTGTACTGTTGGAATGTGCCGGGGGTGTAGTAGCCGGAGATCTTTTGGTTGAAGCACTGCCCGTCAGAGCCTGCTTGGCATGGCAGGCAGTTCGTGCATGCGCTGGAAATCCATTTGACTCCGACTCTATCGCCAAGTTTCAACCCAGCTGATTCGGTGCCGGGGCCGAGTTTGACGACTTTCCCAACACCTTCGTGGCCCCCGACTTGTCCGGGTTGCGTGGGAAAGGGGAGCACTCTCCACTGGGATTGTTAGCTATATATATCCCCGCGCCTTCTGCCTGGTAACGTACAGTGTTTGTCATGATACCATAATCAGAGTGGCATACACCTGTGTGAGTCCTGTCAATTGTCAGTTAAATCACTGCCCAAAAGTACCCTGGAGAACACTTGTGACTTGAATGCTCTGCATACAGGTTGATCAACACTTCGCCTGTGCTAGGCTCAGGCACATCCAATTCCACCACTTTTGTCGACACCGAGCCGGGCTCGTCATAGACCGCAGCCTTTTGCTTCTTTGGGATCTCTAGAGCAGCCATGTTGGTATTGATTGTAGTTTCGAGCTAAGAGGTGACGTGGTATTTGAGGAAGTGCGAAGTTATCAATTGATATGATGAAGAGGACAATGATATTGTTCTTTCGTCCGGATTGATCTGGAGATCACAGTCCTTAAATACTTTTAAGCGGCAAGATTGAATAGCTCCAATTCTTGCTCGTGGAGACGATTACTCGTGGACTCAAAAGTCAAAAGTGAGGAGTAAATGCGGAGGTGGCGGGGTGATGAGCGGATCCAGAGCTGACCTCGGCTACTTGTATCTCACCTACATCCATAGAAGAACAAATCGACGCTAATCTGGAACCTGGTTTGTACAACACGTAGCCCGATTATTGAGTACACCTGCTAGGTGCCCCGGCGCTGCGGAAGCCTCGGTCCGCCGTCTCCATCATCGTAAGACCGATATATGTGACTGAGATGCGACTGATAGGAGGATGTGACATTGGACATGATAAGGATGTATAATTAATGCGCCGTCCTGTGATTGCCAAGTGGCCGTATAGTAGTTCCGCAGTGTGCGGTTCGGATTGTTCTGGACGGGGAGATCGGAGTAGAATCAAGGCAAAGCAGCGGAATTAGAAACCTAGACGGAGCGGACAGAGAATTAGAGACGAACCAGAAGACGGGAAATTGCTTTTATAAGGACAATCCCAAAGGTACTCACCAGCTTGAGGTGTCAGTCATGGGAGCGACCTTGTTGGATATCAATGCACACTCGGTATAATGACCACCGAGGGGAATGGCATCTTCAAAAGAGCTGCAAGTAACGCAATGGCTGCGTATAACGTCCTCAATCCAAGTATCTTTCTGCCTCTCATTGAACAGAAAAGAAAGGAAAGGCCGTTTTGTTTAATTTATTTGGCAGGTAAACACCGCATTCCCTGAACACCTGCAGAAAGCACAACAACGCAGTCAATATGCCAATTCCGATTGTGGACTCGCATGTACACCTCTTTCCAGCGTCGCACCTGCCATCGCTAGCCTGGTATGGTCCCAATAGCCATCTAGGATCCCAGCACTGCGTAGACGAATACCGTCAAGCAACCTCATCCACCCCAATCGTCCCAGATTCAACAAAACCCCTCTACCTCCGTGGTTTCATCCTCATTGAAACGGACCGGATCTCATCAGTCGAGGAATCGGGTGATGGCTGGAAACATGTCCTCGATGAGGTTGCCCTTCTCGCTCGGATTGTTCGCGGAGAACCCGTCGACGGGGACCAATATCGCCATGTAGATCGTCCCCCTTGTTTAGGAATTGTGCCTTGGGCCCCGGTGCCTGGTGGTGCTGCCGCCCTGGAGAGGTATATGGATAAGGTGAAGGACATGTCTGGGACGGACGATGTGTGGAGGAGAATTCGAGGAGTGCGGTATCTGGTCCAGGATAAGCCGTCTGGGCTGATGCTGCAGCCAGGGTTCATTGATGGACTGAAATGGCTCGGTAAGAAGCAGTTGACATTCGACTTGGGAATAGATGCGAGACAAGGAGGATTGTGGCAGTTGCGAGAAGCTGTCGAGATGATGGAGCGGGTTTATGAGGGCGTGGATGAAGAAGACCAAGTGGTGATGGTTATCAGTATGTCTATTGTCCATTCACCACAATTCCCGATTCTAACCGACCCAGACCACCTCTGTAAGCCAAATATACGCCTTCCATACACATCCTCCGAGTCCATTACTTCTCATCCAGACTTCCTGGAATGGAAATCACTTATTACCGCCATGGCACAGCACCCCAAAACATACATGAAGCTCTCTGGTGGCTTCTCAGAATTGCCATTGCTCACTCCAGCTTCCGAACCTGACATTTCCTCCCTCGTCGAGAGACTCCATCCGTGGACCGATGCAGTATTTGATGCATTTGGTCCTAATAGACTGATGTTTGGTTCGGACTGGCCTGTTTGTAATCTTGGGGGAGGCGGGAACGATGTTACTTGGAGACGATGGAGGACTATAGTTGAGGGCATTTTGGAGAGACGTGGGTTGAGTGAAGAGCAGAGGAGAGGTGTCTGGGGAGAAGTTGTAGTGAAAGCTTATGGCATTGAGATTGAAGGACTGTAATGCATATTCTACATTGGTGTATCTTCTTATAAAAAACACCTCACTGAAGATTAACAAACAATCCCCCATCAACCAACAACTGCGCCCCAGTAACATACCCACTCAACTCCTCACACGCCAAAAACACCGCCGGCCCAGCCAAATCTGGCGGTTGCCCTAACCTCCCCAATGGAATCCTCCCCTCCATATACTCCCTCTTAACCGGATCACTCATATCCTCCTCATTCAACTGCGTCCGGACAGTCCCGGGCAATAGAGCGTTGCATCGAATGCTGTATTTGCCCAGTGCTACTGCAGTTGATTGCATTAAGCTGAGGACTCCGGCTTTGGTGGGCGTGTAGTGCGTTTGCTGGCCGCCTCCGACGAGGGCGGAGATGGAGCTGATTCCGATGATTGAGCCGCCGGGTGGTGATTGGGCCAGGGCCATTTGACGGCCTGCTGCTTGGGTTGCGTAGAAGGCGCCGGAAAGGTTGGTGGATATGGTGTGGCCGAGGAGGGGAGGGTCAACCCTATAGTCACGGATCAGTAACTCTTTTCATTAGTAGAGGCAAGGGGAAACTCACTCCAGAAACTCTGCAAATTTACACACACCCGCATTGCTCACGAAAATATCCAACCGTCCAAACTCAGCCACGGTTTTTGCAATGAACTCCTTCCCCGTCTCCGGCTGTGTGACATCCCCAGCAATAGCGAGGAACCTCTTCTCTTGTGATCCTGTGATCTCGACTGCGTCTTTGTTGATGGTCTCGAGGAGTGCTTCTTCGTTTGGCCCACCTAAGTGGTTGATGGCTACTTTGGCGCCGTGGCGGAGGTATTCGAGGGCAATGGCCTGGTATTGTTAGAAAGGAATCATCTTTCAACTTGATGAAAGGTGTACATACCCTGCCAATTCCAGTTAAACCACCTGTAATGGCAGCGACTTTGCCTACTAGAAGCTGCGGGAGAGGCATCTTTGCAATTGGTTGATATAGAGTACTGTTGTCCTTCACAAGCAGTGGTACGTTCTGATGTCTGCGCCACACAATTGCAATCGACTCAAGTTCAATTCCCTGAAATATTCCTCCCTCTCTTTTCCCCTTGAATGTCCTGCTCAACCCCGCGAAAGAGTGCGATAAGATAAGCCGTTTGTGGGGTTGTCTCGGGGGTTCGTGGTGATGATATACCGAGGGTGGATGCAGAGATTCACATGGGAATAATTGGTGGTGGGCACGGAGTACAATATGGAAAGTTACGGATGAAGCTCAAACTGGAATGTAGGTTGTAAATTTTCATAACATACAGGGGTGAGTAGCTATAACAAGGAATGACAAGACACAGTAGATACATCTATAAGAGCTCAAAGTAGAATTCCGTTCAGCAGTAAATGGTAAGCACAGGATCTAATGCCTATCGCTGTTGGCATTTTGCTCATCAGTCGGTGCTGCAAGACTCTTCTGAGGCGCCGGAGTAAGAATCGAAGCAGCAGGAATCAAAGGAGCTGCCGGGTTAAGCTCCAAACCGAATCCCGGCTTGTCCAAGATAGAGACATCAAGGTAGCCTTTGCTGGGAATGGGCTCGTTCAAGAAGAGGTTTCCAAAGACAGGCTCGACACTCCGTCCATCAGCCGAGTTGGCCAAGTATTCCTGGAATGGAGTGTTGGGTTGAGAGACCACGAAATGGTACGAGTAAGGCCCGGATGCATGAGGAACAACGGGGAGGTCATAAGCAGCGGCAAGGGCAGAGACCTTGAGAAGCTCAGTCATACCACCCACCCACATGACATCGGGTTGGAGGATGTCGAGGTTGCGGCCTTCAACCAGTTTCCGGAAGCCATAGCGCGAGAACTCGTGCTCGCCGGTAGTGAACTTGACGGTGGGATGGGCCCGCTTGAGCAGGGCGTGGCCGTCGAAGTCGTCGGGAGTGAGACACTCTTCCCACCAGTCAATGTCGATGCCTTCTTTTTCGCATCGCTTAACGAGCTCGATAGTGTAGGGCACATTCAAGGACATGTAGCAATCCACGCGCAGCGGGAAGTCGGGACCAACACTCTCTCGTTGCTTGCGAAGGTAGTCAACATTCTTCAACAATCCTTCTGTTCCCTCATCGGGGCCATGAGGCAGGGCTACCTTGGCTCCAGAGAAGCCCATGTCTCTGGCTGCTGCAGGTTGTGGGCCGGTGCAGTAAAAGTCAAGCCGCGAACGAGTAGTACCACCGATAAGTTTGTAGACCGGCTCGTTACGAATCTTTCCCAAGAGATCCCAGATTGCCAGGTCGATCACCGAGATGACTGCCACCGGGAGGCCCTTGCGGCCGTAGAACATGGAACCACGATACATCTTCTCGAAGAGGTCGTTTGTGTCTCGGGGGTCTGTATACAATTGGACAAGGTTAGCTTGACACCTTTCAGTGCATAATCGGTGGAGCTTAGTTATTCGCACCTGCACCGAGCAAGAATCGTTCAAAGTGCTTCTGGACCAGCCAGCATGCCGGAGGACCACCGAAACCCGTCGCAAAGCCCTTGGTTCCATCAGTGGCTTCCACCTCCACACAGAAGGAACCCAGAACATTGATTCCCCATGAAGTTCTCGAGCCACGATATTGCGCCCATCGCGTCATAGGAGTAGAAATGTTGCTGTCGATTAACCAATGACCGCCTTTGACCTAGACACGGCGAATTGACACTCAGCGCGACTTCCTAAATCGCATTCATTGCACAATTGAGCTTACATTATGGTAGTCACCTCCAGATCCAACTCCATCGATGAGGAATGTCCGCACTTCCTTGATGCGGGGGAAAGAAGAAGCAGTTGTAGAACCCATGGTGAGAAAAGCAGGACGTTGTAGCGGGTGTTAAGAACAGACGGCGTTAGGAGAGGCAGAGTTAACCAGAAGTACTCCACTATTCGCGAGAAGGAAGGGAATTGATCGTATTTGAAGCCGGAATCATTGCGCGAATATCCTCGGATAGGAAACTGCTCGGGGTATTGCTCCCCCGAGATCAACGAACAACCATTTCCCCGAGATGCATCCTGCATCGGCATTATCCGGGGAAATGAATAAGACAGCTTCAAGGCTTCTCACGCTTAGATATTGGAACCATCATGACCACAGCAAAGCTATACAATGATCAAGTAGTATCTGCCATTTCCGTCTGTATCAACAAGTAACACATGGTATGGAGATGCCAAGACTTGATATGCGGGGTTGGTGCCTGGCTCCGTTCTTTATGTCTCAGGCATTATTGCACCCGCATCTCGTTTTCTTTGTCCAATTCTTCTTCGTTACTCTCACAATAGTTGGCTTCTTTCTTGCCGATGCGTCTTTCATTCGCTGGGTGATTTTCCGAATGTGTATCCACACGCATAATGCCATACTATTCCCCTTTGGAGCCGCTTGTCCTCCACCCCCGGTCTCGCTAGAACATCATGCTGAACGCAAGAGCTTCTGCCCAGAACCCCGGCGATCAGGATAGGGATCTGAGTGTAGATGAGCTCTGGTCTGGTGCGGAGAGCGAAACCAACAGTCGTCCCACTTGGAATGGTTCAAACGGGCTGAAACGAAAGCGTCCGCTTACTGTGTCGTATGTCGCTGTCCGATGATTACTCGCGGATCCTAAATCTGACGCAGCCATCAGATGCGAGCTGTGCAAGCAGAGAAAAGTCAAATGCGGTATGTCCTCTGTAATTGAATCGCTGGCTGCAGCATATCTAATCTGGGTCAACCATCTAGATCGAGCACAACCTAGTTGTGGCTGGTGTACTCGCAATGGCCAATTGTGCGAATACAAGGAAAGAAAGAAACCTGGCCTCAGGGCAGGGTATGGAAAAGAGCTAGAGCAACGGTTGGGTATGTTCTCGTATTATTGTGGGCAAGGCTGCACCGTATCAATCTAATATCGGATGAACAGACAAGTTGGAAAAGACCATTCAGTCGCAAGGTCGTCTTATCGAAACACACATTCTTCAGAATCCCCGGTTGCTCCCTGATCTGCCTCAAACCGGTCCTTTCCCCTATAGCTCCCCCTCGGAGCCTTCTGCCGCCCATGGACCAAGTCCGCACAATGACTTGTTCCAAGAACCGTCTTCCCTGCCGGCTCAAGATACCCCAATTCTCGGCCAGCATGACTACACGGACAATGATTCATCATTGAATGTGCCGGTGAATTTGTTTTCAAACCAAGTGCGTTCATTTGCAGATCCAGAACTTGAACTTCCTCCATACGACTTATTGTATGCACTGGTTGATCTCTACTTTGAGCACGTCAATCCATGGTGCCCGATCCTTCACCGTCGGACGACCTTGGACAACTTCTTTGGACCATCCCCTCTGGCCGAGGAAGACCGTATGGTCCTCTATGCTATAGTTGCAACAACTCTCCGATTCTCCACGGACACTCGCCTCAACGAACAAAACAGGAAACAGTACCATGACTCGTCCAAACAAAAGGTTCTTCTTTATGGCCTGGAGAACTCGTCTGTCAAGGCTCTTCAAGCTCTGGTAATATTGGCCCTCGATCTAGTTGGTTCATCCAACGGTCCTCCTGGATGGAAACTTCTTGCTCTTATAACCAGGTCTGTGGTCCAATTGGGACTAGCGGTTGAGCCGAAGTCTCGTTTGGTTGCTCCTGTTTACCCTTCCATCTATACTCTAAGAGCAGTGGTTCTTCCGGAACCAGACTCATGGATTGAAGAAGAAGGTAGACGTCGACTGTTCTGGATGGTATATCTTTTGGATCGGTATTCCACTATCGCAACGGCGTTTGATTTCGCTTTGGATGATAAAGATATCGACCGCAAGCTTCCATGCAAGGATGAATATTTCGTCAAGAACCAGCCAGTGGAAACAAGATGGTTCCGCCATTCCCATAACCGAACCGACTATATAAATCGTGCGGAGAATGTCGGATTCCTGGGGCTTTATGTCGAAATACTAGGAATTCTCACTCGCATTCATCGTTTCTTGAAAAGACCCGTGGATATCGGGTCATTGTCCGATGTTGAAGAATGGCAGACAACGTATCGCAAGCTTGACAGTGAGTTAACCTCATGGGAGTTTAACCTCCCCAACGAATATGCATACGAGAACTCGTCTCGACTGTTCAGCGGACCAAAGCATGCTCGGGGTTTACAGTGTGACTGGGTACAGCTCCATGCTGCTTATCAAACGTAGGCTCTTCCCTATTTACACACGAAGAATTAATGACTGAAAAACCCATTATAGAGCCGTGATCCGCCTCCATTCATCCGCTGCCTACCCAACAACCCGCTCCCCAATCTTCACCCCATCATACAGCGCCAGCCAACGATGCCTCCTAGCAGTCGACAACATCCTCTCCGTAACCCGCCTAGTAGTCAACAACAAACTCCTCGACAAACTCGGGCCCCCATTTGCCTTCACCCTTTGGGTCTCAGCCCGCCTCTTGCTCGTCCACGGATCCACCATTGCGCACATAGTCAGCCCCGACTTCACCTTTTTCGTCGACACACTCGCCCAAATGGGCATGCATTGGAAAGTAGCAGAGCGCTACAGCTCGATCCTACACCGCGTACTAGATGAGTACGGCGAGTACCAGCAATCTGGTGCAATAGATGGCGAGCGCACCACACCGTCCACGGTTAAGATACTCGCGGATATGCGTCGCTGCGCGTTTGATTTGGATTTCCTCATCTCGCGACAACCGCGCTCATCGCCAGCTAGTAGCAGCCAACCACCGATGTCGTCGACAGCGGGGCCCTTGCGAAATCTCGCCCCCAATGAGCTAGAGTATCTAGACGTCTTTGGTTTCTTCAATGTCCCCCGTGTACCTCCCACGCGGGCATTGGATATAGCCAGTCTCGACATCGAGGGGACAGGTAGCAATAATCTATCGCCTATGCATGGGTTAGCTGGAGGAGCGACAGATCCTGCGGATGCAGTCGTGGATGGCCATTCGTCTAATATGAACGACCTGAACATCACGAATTATCTCATTCCGACTCCGGAGACTGATTGGTTATTCCGGCAGACGGGGTGATGCGATGCATCCCGTCAGGTGGAAGGGCGCCAGATAAGGCCTGGCTCTCGAGTTTATGAGGCAATGTGCCAGAGATAGCAAGTTTCTATGCTTGCTTCCAGGTAGTGTAATGTATTCATACCATGTACATTAGAATTAAGACATGACATTGACTATCCGCTTACTTTACCATAATCTATCCCAAATAATCACGAGGAAGTGCACTCAGTCCCATAAGAAAAATCTTTCCATTCATGAATCAAACATATAGCAACACATTTTATCAAGAAAGAGAAACATGTACGTATCTAACCTCTGATGCTTCGATAATGCAAATCCCATACCCAAACAATGACATAAAAGAGTATCAACGCCACACCCAACAATCATGAAGTAGATAGAAAAGGCAATGCAACAAGGTGACCAGGTGGTGTAGCTCAACGTTTACCAGGACTCGGCTCTTCATCAGCCGGTTCGATCCTAACTAGGACTTCTTCAAGAAATCCTTCTAAGAAAGACGACACGTCTGCACCCATGCCAATCGGAGCTTCTTGATCTAACCGCTCGATCCTGGTGAACATCCCAGATATGTCACTCACGAGAGACTCGATCATATCGTGTGCATATTCGCGACGTTCATGAAGGTCGATCACCTCGCTGCTTCGCTCATTTCCGACATTCCGTCGAAGACGCTCCATTCGGCGGGAACGACGGCGTATAGCTGCCTTCAATGCAGGAACAAGGACGCTATTCAAGGCTGTGACCTCATTTGATGAAGATGACGGTCTGGTTTCGTGTGAGCTGGCACGAGGGAAGTTGTTTGCGTTGTTGAAAGCAGAAGCCGTAGGGGATTGCGGATTACGCGTTGGCGTCAGCGGCTGCGGCGGCCTGTTGATATCATGTGAACTGGCCCCAGCTCCTCCGCGAGGGAAGTTTGCGTTGTTGAAAGTGGACGTCGCGGGAGACTTTGGTGATTGCGTGTTACGCGTTGGTGTCTGTGGCTGCGAAGGCGGCTGCGGCGGTGGCGACCTGTGTTTGGGGGTTGGTGGAGGGCGGACATGGGGTTGAGCAAATGCTGGCTGCTGGGGACGTACTTCTGGGGCTGGCATGAAGCCCTGGTTGGGAATCTTAGGAGACTTATGTGGGGGTGGTGATGGGATGTGTCCTTGACGTGAAGATGCTTTCACAGGTTGCGTTGGAGGTTTTGGGGAGAGCTGCTCGGTTGACTCTGCCTTCAGTTCTCGGGAAGGTAATCGAACATCCGCCGGGCGGTCCAGCTGAAGGAATCCTAAGTCCTGTACCAATGATTGCTGTAGTTCCCTGTCGTACTCGCTTGTGCTAGGGCTTTCCTTTTGTGAAAATACGGTGGGCCCTTGAAGGTGCGTAGGCGTTTGGGGCACGTTCTGTATGGGTATCGGCTTGACGGGAGATGGTGGAAGAGGCACTTTCGACGGCGACGGATTCGGAATGGCTTGGAAACTGTTCCTTTGCGGCGGCATCGGCTGAGGACCGCTAGGTTTCCTTTGGTTCCTTTGGGGTTGGTCACTTAAATCCCACTCCACATGTCCTTGGTTCCGGGTGTTGGTATCTGCGTCTTTCATCGGCTTCAGGCCAGCTCCGCGTACTCCTGGGCGGACAGTACCAAAGTCCCAAAGATCATCGTCTTCCACTTCTTGACGGGCTGCCTGTTGAGTTGGTGCATCGTGGAAGGACATATAACTCAAGTCAGGCGTCCGCGTCTCGCCATTATCTTTATTCTTCTCATTTACCTTTTCTATCTGCCAGCGTTCATGGCGTTCGATCAACTCGGTTAGATAGGTCGTCCTTTTAGCACGCTTAATAAATGGATGCTCGAGCAGTTCCCTGGCCGAAGGTCGTTCTCTGGGATCACGCCGCAAGCAGAGTTCGACAAAGTTCTTGAAGTATCTGCTAAACTCGTCTCCTTGTAAGATCGGCGGGTGGTTCTTGGGAATCAAGAACAAGACCTTCATGGGGTGGATGTCAGAGTAAGGGGGCTCTCCACAAGCTAGTTCAATTGCCGTGATCCCCAGAGACCAGATGTCGGCCTTGTAGTCGTAACCAGATTGCTTGATAACTTCCGGGGCCATCCAAAAAGGCGTACCAACGAACGTGTTCTTTTTCGTCATGGTTGCTGATAACTGCCCAGAGACGCCAAAGTCTGCCAATTTTACCTGGCCATCTGCAGTTAAAAGGATATTTGCGGCTGCCATGGCTGTTAGCTTATGTACGCAATATTGGGAAGATTACAGATGCAGATGTACCTTTAATATCCCTATGTAACTTCTGATCATTGTGCAGGTATTCCAAGCCACGAAGCAATTCCCTGAGAATGATCATGATGTAGTCCTCCGATATTTTTCCGGGACGCAACAAGTCTGAGCAGCTACCACCAGAGCAAAACTCCATGACGATCCACAAATGGGACCCCTTCAAAAACGAACCATAGTATCTCGTAACATGGGGAGAGTTGAGTTCAGAGAGAATCGCAATCTCCGAGATAATATCCTCGACGTCGTCTTCGGCATCTTCGACATCAACGACTTTGATCGCGACGGGTTTGCCACTCCGGTTATCGACACTAGTGTATACGCATCACGTCAGCATTGACCGCAATACATGAGACGCAGAGACGCATTCAGTCAGGACGTACCCTTTGTAAACTCGCCCAAAGCTTCCACCACCTGGACAGCCAAAGTTTAGTGATCCCGGTCTGTATGATCAATTTCGCACTTTCCGATTACTCACCAATGCAGCTCTGTTTCGTATAGATGGATTCAGGATCCACTGGTCCTTCCATGATTGTGGTTTCAGATTACAGGAAGTGATTGATCATTAACCCGGGTCGACACTAGACAGCATTAGTCCTGCAGGAGGTAAACAAAACGGACTGTATGAAGTAGGAGAGGATGCACGACAATGTGACAGGGCATGCAAATGACAAATATGTGGGCGAATATCCACTGAATGACTTCGCCAAACAAGGAGATACTCACAGTCCACGCGGTACGGATAAGTATAGACCGAGAGAGCGCCGCTGATATTTAGATCAAGCAACACAGAGAGTAAAAAGACATAAAGATAGGTCAGATCGCATCAATTAACTATAGCTTGCCAAAAACTGATATCAGTACAAAAGCTCCGAGGGAGGTTCGTTGCTGCCCTGGCGTGCTCCACTTACTTATTGTTTATCGGGCTGGTGGGATCGGGTGCTGCAAGCCGTCAATCAACAACAAAACAATGACTTTTTGCGCGAGTCAATCGGGAATAATCGCAGCCAGTGAGATCGGGACAAATAATGCTCTGAGACCGGTGTCTCTGTTGGTTATTCAGGGATTAAAACAGGCCCTGGCAGCAATGCATGGAATTGTTTCCCTTGCGTTTATCTTGGAAGATCGAACCAGGCGCCGGGACAACCGCGGGGTTTATTCTGCCGGGCGGTCGACGAGATCTGCGCACCGGTCACGGGCGGTGTGGAACTGTCGCTATGCCCGATCTGGTAAACAGGTATACATAACTACTCGGAGTATTACATTCGAGATGATACATTCGAATTAAGATTGTTATTATTGTCAACACTCTAACCTCTCTTCATAAATGCTGCATCATTACACTGAGAATCGATACATGACTTATGTATACATGATATTGGTAAGAATGTAGGAAAGTCGCCCAGCTCTGTACTGCGAAGAGGGCACACAAAGAGACATGGTCCCAGCCCTGTCTAAACACCTGGTATCCTCAAGCCCAATCCAGAGTATTTGGTATAAGACGTCATTAATATCCTCCTCTTAATCTTCGTGATATCCGATCATAACTGTTCCGTTCTTCAACCCAGCATCTGCGACGCTCTCGTCGAGCTGGTTGATCAGATTGCGACCCATGGCATTGAGTTCGAATGTAACACCCTTTTTGTCCTCTAGAGGAGGTTCAGCCTTCAGCCATTCATAAATACGTCGTACAGGATCGGACAGAGCAAAGCGCCGGATTACTCTTCCAGATGGGTGTCGGAACTGTATACGGGTGGTTGTCGTTGGGTCAGCGGGAGGCTCTGTATGCGGCTGGTCTGCTGGAATCGAAGCGAATAACGAAGTCTCGGGATCGAGTTCTTCTTCCTTCACTCCACCCATGCTGACGTCCTCTACTTCAGGGGCTTTGCCCTTGCCCTTGACATCTTCGACACTGCGAGTCAACTCATCAGGATCCTCCACCTTGGGGGTCTGTGTTGCTTCTTCGCCCAAGCTATTCCGCATCGCCATTTCCAACATCTCTTCTTCCGTCATAGCATCGACAGTCTTCTCCTTCTTCTCAGGCTTCCGCTTTGCCACAGGGTTCCGCACGTTGACCTTCAAACTGTATCGGTCAAGGAACTCGTGAAGTTGAATCAGAAAATCGGCTACTTTGATTACGGGAGGTCCCTGTGACAAAACCTTCATCTGTTCGCCGGTCCGAGGGTCAACAATGGCGATATGGGGGTAGTTGTCGCCGACATCGTGCGCCTGGAAATAATATTGCAGATACGGCGTCGCACGAGGGTCGTCTTTGGAATACTGTAGAAAGATAAAGTGCTCTCTGATAGTTTCCTGGACGGTCGAGTCTTTCCACAGATCTCTGTTCAGGAGTTGGCAGTCGAAAATCGACGAATCTTGAATGTTGATCAATATCCACTTCTCGTTCTCGCGACCTTCCTCACGAGCTGCGTCCCACGGGAGCCTCGACATGATCTCAAACGGTGGGCGGTACATTTCAGCAAGCATGTTCGATTTATTCGACGTTTCGGAAGCACCTCCGGTAGCTGCTGCGAGCCTCTCGCGATTGGCCTGATCGGAGTCTTCAGCCCAGATGGACGAGGTATCGCGTTGGTTGAAGATGCCAGGTCGGTCTAAAATACACAAAGTCAGTAACCTAGAGCGAGAATGAACTTGAGAAGCGAAATACTTACTGCTTCGTTGACCACGAGACCGCAACTGAGACAATATACTGGCGTGCATGCCATCATCGAGATCTTCCTCTGGTCCCACCAGAGTTTCTGTCGTGCGCGCCATCGGTGCCCGCACATCATCCCCTTCTCCTGCACCTCCTCCACTACCACCTGCACCGTAAATTTCTTCCTGAAGACGTCGTGCCATAGCCTCATCGTCTTCATAGGCCGCTGCTGGTGCTGGCCGGCCCCGAGGCGCTGACCGCGTTTCGTCAACGGTGACATCGTCGTCGGAGTCGATGTGAACGACGCCAGGTTCGTCTTGGTGAGCAGGAGCTCTTTGAGGCTCTGTCGTCGAGGGCTCATCTGTTAAAGGTGCACCTCCGTTTTCGAAGTAGAGCGACATAGCCTGCTCGATGTTGAAATCGGCCAGCTGCAAGTACTGGTTGGCCAGCCCCGGACTGGAGCCGGTAATCTCAGAAAACTGAGCCACCACGTCGTCATTCATGGCGTACTATGTATTGGATACTCCGACAAGGGAAATGGTAGGGAAGCGTGAAGGCAATGTCCTGTGGTGAGGGGAATGTAGAAGATTATACTGATCACCGCCAAGGTTGAGGCAAGATCGGATAAGGCAAACAAGCGGACTGCGAATATCAACGCTCCTGGTGAAAGATAATTAGCGAAACCCAAAGACAATTTCAGTGACAGACGAAGTGCCCACGAAATGGAGACAAAAAAGTGTCTCAACAGATTCAAAGAATTGACTCCTACAATCATCTGCCAAAACCGGTGACGCACTTTGCCCACTAAGATAATCCGATCCGAATCCCTTGTGACCTGTAACGATACCGTATCTTACATAAATTACATACAGTCTACGGCCACCGACTGAGTCCTAAAATGCAGATCTCTATTTACACGTGATCTACTTTATTGGGCCTCACGACGCGTGACGCGAAATGGTAGACGCGACAAGAGCGCGTCCGCGCCTAAAAAGGAATAATGGATAATCGGCGATACGTCGAGGCACATCCATCGCACTTGCTCTCCGCTGCTACATTCTCCTCCTCGTTTGCTCCTTCCACAAGCTCAACCATAGCAGCGACGCATCACCATGGCAGCAACGGTTCTGGGAAAGCGCCCACGGGGAGCTCTACAAACTGAAGGTACGATTCGAGCGTCCCTTCCTCACCACGTCGTACGTCTTACTGATACTAACGGCATTCGTTACAGCATCTGCATTACCGGTACGCACTTCCAGCAAGCGTCGGTCGCGGACACCTCGCATTCTTCAAGAAGAGGATCGGTCTTCGGTATCGTCACCACGCCAATTGCGTTCCCGGGGGAGGAAAAAAAGCTCGATCGCCGAAGAAAATGACCAAGAAAACGACACAGCTGAAAAGAGTGCCCCTGCTGCTGAGACTAGACGCTCTAAGCATACCGTTCAGCCGACCACATCCCCCGTCAAAGTCAACTCGCACCTCCGAACGACGTCAAAAGCCGTGAACGGTAAGACTTCTTCCTTCCCTTCAATCAAGGGGTTGCGCTGAACTCGAGCTAATTCGCGATAGATGAGAACGCAAACCCCATCGGAATCAAGACTCCTTCCAAGTCCCGATACCAAGATGTACTCGAATCGCCTCCTATTACCCCAAGACATCGAGTCCAAGTCGGCGCCAAGTCCTTGACTCCGCGCACTCCCCGACACGTCTCTACACCGACAACTATTACGATAACTACAACAACCCAAACTGTGTATACGCAGGCTCGGCAGCTGTTTGCTCGGGGAGCGAACTCCGGTCGGTTAATTGGTCGCGAAACGGAGCGGGAGAAGTTGAGATCGTTCATCGAAGATGGTGTGGAATCGCAAACAGGTGGTTGCTTATATGTCAGTGGGCCTCCCGGTACCGGCAAAAGCGCGATGATCGATGAAGTGTGTCAAGAGATGGACTTTTCGGCCGTGAAGACTGCGCATGTCAACTGTGCGAGTATGCGGGGACCTCGTGATGTTTACAGCAAACTCGTTGAGGAATTCTGCGACGACTCGGAGATCTTCAAGAAGAGTGAGGCGGACCGACTGAAAGCCATGTTTATCCCGAACGAGTCGGAAGACGGACTGTTTTTTGTTACCTTGGATGAAATCGATCACCTTCTCACCTCGGACGCTGGAGTACTACAGTCACTTTTCGAGTGGGCATTGCATAGCAAGTCTAAACTCATGCTCATCGGAATTGCCAACGCGCTCGACCTGACAGATCGATCTCTTCCACAACTCAAGGCGAAAAACCTCAAACCTCGATTACTCCCCTTCTTGCCATACAACGCCAACCAGATCGCCAATGTGATCACGAACCGTCTTCGGTCATTGCTTCCCAGTGACCAAAATGCTGAACCGAACTTCGTACCTTTTGTTCAGCCGGCTGCTATCCAATTATGTGCGAAGAAGGTGGCTTCTCAGACGGGTGATCTACGGAAAGCCTTTGAGCTTGTTAAGCGCGCCGTCGACCTCATTGAGCAGGAGACTTTGAAGAAGCTGGAGAAGCAGAACGACGATCCACAGACTCCGTCCAAGACTATTCTGATCGAAAACAAGAACCTATCGACCCCTGCAAAGACACCACAACCGAAGGATTCGACATCGGTTTATACTGCCCTTAACGCACCTCGAGCTAGCATTGCCCATGTGGCACGCATCACCTCATCTGCTTTCGGACAAGGCACCGTCCAAAGACTACAGAACATCAATCTCCAGCAAAAAGCAGTTATCTGTTCGTTGATAGCACTTGACCGAAAGCGGCGTGAAGGCGACATCACGAGCACACCGTCCAGAACCAAGATCTCCGCCCCAACCGTCAAGCAAATTTTCGACACGTACTGCGCGTTGTGCCGGAACGATAACATTCTTCACCCCCTCACAGCGACCGAATTCAAAGACGTTCTCAGTAATCTGGAAACGATGGGCTTGGTCGGTGAATTCCAAGGCCGTGGTCGGGGAGGTACGGTTGCCGGTGGCTCGGACCTGAGACGCACTCCGTCAAGATCTGCTACCTCGACACCTATCAAGGGCTCAGATGAACAAGGACTTGTTTGCTTTGTGTCGCAAAGGGAAATCGAGGGCCAAATTGCGGGCCCAGGAGAGGGCATCTTAAGAAGGTTGCTTTCAGGCCAAGGGCTGTAGAGAAGGTGGCCGTTCTTTTTTGTATACCTGCCTTGCATGCATATGGCATTTTTGGAGTTCGAAGATTATGCATCCGGTCTTTCATTTTGAGCATCAACCCGACAATGTTTTGGATATATCGTGGCGTCGTGGAGTTCATGGTATTTGTCATTCTAGGTTAGCGATTCTTAGCATAGCATAACGACGAGAAATCTTGGATACAAATGGTAGAACCGCTCTGCTATTCCAGCAATGTTTGTAATCGTAGTTAGTAGCGTTCCATACTTGAGCAACAAGGATTATTCAGTTAACTGTTGGATGGTTGATTGGTTGATGTAAGTACCAAGACATCCGCGGCGCTTATGCGGGCCCTTCTTTCCATATAAACCAAGTTTCCGGTCTATTTTTTACCTATTAAGTCCTCCTTTCGCCCAACTTCCACACCATGTCATGGAATGTGGAATCTCCCGCCCACTGCCAAGTGCGTGGGGCGTTGGCCGTTGAGGGACATGACGCTGAAAACCAAGAACCTTGGAGCTGATGAATTTGACCTACAGCAACTAAAAGAGCTCTGTATTGACGTTGATCCCATCACACTAGACGAGACATCACCGCATAAACCGTTTTACTTCGCTCTCTACCCAGGCAACCTGATTCCAGAACCCACTGACGATGCCCTCGAGGGCCCTTACAATGGTCTAAATGATGAAACGGAGTATTCTTTCACCCGTCCAGTTGATCGCACATATGTCATGAACATATACCTTTCGTTCTACATTTTTTACTATGATAGGAATGCCAAAGGGGAGAGGGTCCCTTGTACTTCAAAAGAGTAAGCAACAGCCTATGTAATCCGAGGCTGCTCTTCACTGGTCCAAAATCTAACATACGTTATAGGTTTTGACTGTCTCCCTCATGAGAATAGAAGCGCGAGTGATCGAAGCCTTTTTCCAGGGTCAAAGTCTCGTCTTGCGTCCGACCAAGATGTATGATTTCAGTCATGGAAACCCCAATGCTTTCAAAATATTTGCCCAGTGGTATTTGGGCAAGCCAATTGGGAATACCGCTCAGGCTTCCTGATCGTTGATGAGTTGATGACTAGATGAGCGACGGCAGTAGGCAGTAGGCAGAATGTTAGAACCCTAAAACTATGTGTTAGCTGCCTGTGCCTATTCTACCAACCAAGGTTTCCCAAAAAGACATACGCCAAACAAGGCAGTTAAGCAAACAAGTACGGAACAGACACCAACTCTTCAACTACTGTGTAGACAAGACACGAACGCGGACTTCGACAAACCAACTACCAACATGGACATCCCAACTACCATCCTGAACACTACCATGCGCGCCGTCGCTAGACAAGCGACAATAGAAGAGCTTTATCTCAAAGATGGAGGAATGGCAGAAGGGGTCGAGAAGGTCCGCTCTGTCTTTAGGGACCTGCAGAAATCACTGCAGGCCAATGTAGAGGCGGATCTGGCGATTAAAAATAGTTATTATCGTGGTGCACCTACTAAGGGGTTGAATATGAAGTGCGTTTGATTCTGGTTGGATATCAAACCTGAATAAGTACATTTCATTACATGAGACAATATATAAACCAGCTAATTCAAGAACTTGACAATTCGCTAGATGGAAAGTTATGTCCCTCGATCTTGAAGATTCTCGCTTGGTCACCATCTAGATGTTTAGAAGCGCCGTGGGTATTGGAGGCGTAGTAATATGGCGTGTCGAACAAAAGCGTCGAATAGATGAAGAATGTATAGGTCCTATCGGTCCAGTCTTTTTACCATGAGGTGACTAACCTCTGATCCATTGTTGATTCTCAAAAAACAACTGTATGTAACTGTCTGTCTGTGTGGACAACCCAATTTGCCTTGTTCTCAGTAATTCTCTGGTTGTGAACAATCGCCGTTGGCCAGAGTGGTTAGCCATTTGTATTGAATAGAGATACTCCAGTGCTAACTCACCCATATAGATTAGCAACTCACCAATGTCATCGCTGTGTCTTCGGCCTTAGTCTCGATTATGCCTGCGAGTTGAAAGGCTCGTCGAATAAGCTGTAGTCAGCGACACCTATTAGATTTTTGTCTCTGCCTTGCTATCGGATGTTGAGATCCTATACCAGCGCTGGCTCCTCTGGTCTGTCTTTCCACACGCAATTTTTCTTGGCGAAGCTTACTTCGGTAGGATTGTCTTCCAGAAGCTCAATGTAGCCTCTGAGAGTTCTAGAGCCCTGGTTGAAACCATGGGGCCACACTCTGTCCTACTGACACATTTTCCGTCATTTTTGTGCAAGGAATGTCTGGCTGGGACGTGGCAGCACGAACATTGCCTTTATCAGACTGAACTGAGTCTCTTGGTCGAGACGAAGTGATTCCGTACCACTTTCTATCTCAATTATAGCACTAAAGCGTCATGCTCCTCCTCATTATGCAATCATCCACTGCACAATCACATTTGTAGTTCTTCCACTACTAAACATTTCGTTTTGGTTGCAGAGTGTGGTGCGTCGTATTCGACGAGCACTCACCAACATCAACATATGGGGAGTTAAGATCGATGAGAAAAACCCCGTGGATCGTCTTCGTGTTTCCGTCAAGCCGTTTGAGATTTTCGACAAATTGAGAAGGGTTAGCATACTCAGTAGCCCTCCATCCACGGCGGATCACAATCACCAAAGGCGATGTACGGAGACAATTGGGGTCCCTGTATGAGAAGACCAGTCCGGTTAGGGTTAGCACCATCCAAACCAATATCATAGTATTAGACTCGTTGGTAATCCGTATATCTCGCTCTCCGGTTTTATCCTGTCCGTGGAGGATTTGAAGCAGGTGTTGAACTGAGCATTGTGCTCGGGTGTTGTATAGCAGCCTGAATAGATTGAATTTCGTGAGGTATGATACGATAAGCTCTATAGAGGAGCTCTTTAAGTGTTATACATTATGTGCAGTCTTCAAACGCTTTCCTTGGAAGAATAGGGGCGGTAGAGCGTCCTTCATGGGAGGACGATGGGATTAGGGAAGGGTGAATAGATCGGACACGCGAGGAGTGGATAGATGATGAAAGAGTGGAAGAGAGAACAATAAGTGAATGAGTGGAATGGAATTCATGGACTAATTTTATTCAGGAGGATTGGATAAACAGTGGTATTCTGTACTCAAACAATAACGTTTCTTGCGAAATCTGGTCTATTCAGGAATATGCATACTAAGATAATCTCAAAATACACGAGGGAAGTTGGTACTCAATTTCAACGGACCATTCATACTAGGTGATATACAATATCCCTAGAGAACAAGTCGTCAAAGCTTCAAATGCTGTACAAATAAATTACACGTCAAAGCTCGCTTCAAACCGAATCAACCGGTGTCAGACAGAAGGGGACAAAGGAAAGAACAACATATAGAAAAATTGCAGCGACAACAAACGATAAAGCATACAAACCGGGTATGTGTATAAACCGATGAGTGATGAGGGCTATAATGGGAATCTTTTCTGAACTTCAAAATAAAAAAATAAAAAAAAAACCCATGAGCACGACTTGGAATGCGATGTGTGGGCAAAACGAGAATTTTCCTTAAGTGAAACCACGTAAAAGTCATCATGGTCGAAACAAAATCGAAAGCAGTGGAAAACCGGATAATCGCATTTAATCGTCATCCATAGGCTTATCCTCCAGGGTTATGCGATTGGGTTCACTCTCTGCAATGCTGTTTCGGTTGCTGTTCGTACCCACAGACGTAGGGAAGCTGGACACGCTACCGAGACCAGGCTTGCGGGTAAACTTCAAACTAGAACGAGAGATTGACGTGCGCTTATCAGCGTCGCTGGTAGTGGAAGCGTGCACTGGTGCTGGTGTAGGTGTGGGAGTGGGCGAGTCGTCTGTCGCAGCCGCTGGCGGCGGTGGAGGGCTAGACGTGCCCGAGGTGCTAACGCTCGCAGCAGCAGAGACCGGGGAGTCGTCTGGAGTGCCATTGGTTGCAGATTCAGCAGCATGGATATTCACGTTCGTCATTTGCTCGGTTCCAGTAGGAGAGTTGTTGTTGCTGGGGACGTCCAGGCTGCCTCTGGTCATGGTTCTCTTATCCGTCGGGCTAGTCACGTTGATCGGGAACCGTCTGGTTTCCGACGCACCGCTGGAGCGGTCCCGGCGGTGCTTGCGGGGAGGAGCCGGGCTGTGACCACGGCTGCGGTCCACAATGGCACGGTTGCGGGCTTCCATGGCCGCGCGGCGGTTGCTCTCATCGGTACTGATGGCACGAGGACGGCTGTTCGTCCTTCCAAGTCCGTTTGCGCTGGACTGCCGCTTCAGTTCACCAAAAATCACATCTTTGTGAGCAAAGAGGTCTCGGATCAGACGGTAGCTGTGACGCTCGTCCATGGTAAGACTGCTCTCCCAGCGCGGCCGGAGAACGCACTGCGACAATGACTGGGTGAGCGTCGAAACGAACGTCTCGTCAGCAGAGGTCAAATCAATCAAGCGCGTGATATGGGTCATTATGGCGTCAAGCGTAGCAATGTTGTTGAGACGGAGTTGTCCGAGTGTGCTCTGCAAGACCTTAATCCGTCCTTCTTCCGTTGTCTCATGAGCAGTAGTCGAATAGACCGTCTTGACGATTTCGTAAACTTGGGAAGAAACTAGGGAATCGGGCAACTCAAGGAGGTAAAGTTTCAGGACGCTGACAACAACGGGGATCTCAGACTGTTCCAGCACTTCCTGATAGTCCACCTTGCTGTTGTTCAGTGCATTGCGAAGACGGTGTGTTGCCTCCAAGGGAACGTCATGGAGCCAGACGGCACGACGTGCCTCGTCTCCTTCAAGTTCGGGGTAACCTGTAATTCAATTAGCACGGGAAGACATTACGCGCGGATAGTCAATCACTTACGGTCGTCCAAATAGGTCAAGATCGAGGTTAGGAGGATAGGAACCCGCTTGCGGTCAGCCCTTGACCTGGCTTCAAGGTCGACACCAAAGTTTTGGTCTTCAACCGAGCCATAGTAGTTCTCATAGGCCTGGACCCGAGGGACAAAGCCACCAGTCCGGTAGTTCTCAAGGAGATACCGGAGGTCTCCTAGAGGCTGAATGGTTTCCTGGTACAGCATCATGTGGTCGACGGTGCTTTGCAGGTTCGGGATGACGTTGCTGATCGCACCAGAGAAATCCAGAACAACAGACTTGATCGCCTTGAGACGGTCGAGCTCGCATTGTTCCATGAAGCGAAGGTTCGCGACAATCTCTTCCTCAAGTTTGCATCTGATCTGGTCAAGCTTGCGCACTGCAGCCTTGTACCGTTCATCCGCTTCACGGGCTTCCCTGTGCAGCTTCTCTGCCGGCGACTCATTCGGATACGGGTTGTTGAGAGGGTTCCAGCCAGCAATCATCTCCGAGACGGACGCAATCGGGGAGTCGTTACCACCGTCTTCGCTTGAGGCAGCCGACGTGACGCGCATCAGAGGCTTCTTCTTCTCGGGCATACCGGTTACTTGGAAGACCTTTGCGCGCCACTGGTAATTCATCTTCGAGCTGTTGGCGAAAGTGTTTCCCATGTTACCCACAAGCCGGAGGAAGCCGTTTTCGACAAGGTCTTGACCAATCGCTTCCGCATAAGTGAGACTAGTCGCATTCATGTACTTTTGGGTGTACTCGACGATGTCCGCACCAGTCGACGTGTTCTGGTAGGTACCCATGATAGGCACCTTGACGTCTCCCACCTTAATATTCTCCAGCATATGCACCAGAAGTCTCTTCAACTCCTCTGGCGGGTAGATGCGATCCCCAATCTCAACAGGTTCTTCTTCCTCTGGTTGTTTTTCCGGAAGGACAAGTCGAGGAGTGTTCTTGGACTGGGGACTGTTTTGGGGGGCTTGGAAGGCAAGCTTGTTCTCTTCCTCCAAGTCTTCAACCACACGACACTTGTTGAAGTAGTGACTCCGCAGCTTCTTGACAACCTCCACCTGTTTGGTATGTTCCTTGATACGCGTCTGGAGATCGTCGTGCGAGAGCTGAATTCTGGCTTCATGCTGACCGCACCAGCGTCTGAAGGGCGAGACAACGAGTTCACGAATATTCGATGCGATCTTCTGATGGTTCTTTGCCGCTTCAACCATCTCGGTGCGGACTCCTTCGTATGCCTGGAAAGCGGAACACCGGTATCAGCACAGGCCCATTGACCAATGAACAATTATCAAAAGATATATACCTTCCTCACACTAGCCCCGTCATCCTTGCCAAACCCGTTTGGCATCCGGTCCACGCTCGGCGCAATGTCCCCCAACTTAAGTCCATACTGCTCTTCCGCATCCGCACGCAGAGACGCAACAGTAAAAATCTGCCTATTTTCCACAACACCCTGCTGTAGCTTTCCATATAGTACCCCCAAACCCGAAGCGTAGTCGGGGGTCCAGAACGAATCCGCGAAACCCGGCATTATGAACAGTTCGGACGAAACCTAAAATCCCTCCAACTGTTTCCGTAGAACACGTAGCAAAAGCGAATCGAACGGTGTAACCCAAGTCGCGGGGATGATAAATCTCAAAGAATGCGGAGACGCAATAGTAACCAAGGGCTTTTGATTGTGTACTCTGTACACGTAACCAATGAACTCCGAAAGGGCAAACTAGTTGCCAAGCAAAGGAAAACCAGCCTTTTGTTCACGATATCGGTTCGAATTATCAGAATTATCACCCTGAGGTATCGGCTCGGAGAGGGAGAGGGACTTCGATGCGAGGGCGGCTAGAAAAAGAGCGAGAACCGTGGAATGAAGCAAGCCAAGCGCCGGAGCAGCAGCGGCAACAGCAAGAAGGCGAAAAGGAAGGCGACAAGAGAACTAGAACAACCCGGAAACAAAACAAGAAGCAAAGAAGAGAAAGGACAACGAAAAGGAGAGCAAGCAAGCAATGCGTCCGAGTACAAAAGGAGAACAGGTCACAGATGGACTGTCAGGGCGAGAGTGGTTCTGCCTGCAGCAGGATTCTTTCTTGTTGGCCGATGACTCTCGAAAGAGAAGATCAAATACTGATACACCGCCCGTATTCGTATCGCTCGGTATCCGTATCGTAAATCATTTACCGACCTGAAACTAGTCACTCACGTGATTCCTATTTATGGCAGCGTCTATTTTCTTGTGTGGCTGCGAATGACCCACTAAGGTAAAACAAGTGGTATGTTATCCGTAATAGGAGCGTAACGGCTGTACCGGCGTGACGGGTCCAGAGTGCAAACACGCCAAGACTGGAGAAGTCTAGAAGTGGGTTATGTAAGAAACGTCGAGTTTTAGTCTCTATGTTAAAAGAATTAGGGTAAACTAAGATACATATTATTATAGACAGCTTAACAGAAGAATTTATACGCCTTTTTCCACCAAGGCCATGCCGCCTGTTCGGCCCGTTCCTCATCGATTAGGTGTTGGATGTCGAGATCCCGACGACCCGTTTGCAAATCCATATCCTTGGCGCGCATAAACGGAGACCGAGTGTAGATCTTATATGGGATGTAAAAGGCTATGACAACCGGAGCGGCCAGATAGCTTTGGAAGAAACTCTCAACTCTCCCGGAGGCAGTCATCTTTCCGTAGTCGACGGGGGCAAATCCAACCCAGAATTGCGCAACGAGCACGAGACAGTTGAAGATAAATCCGACCCAGGATCCAACCACGCCTGGCTGAGAGCGAAATGGCAGCTCATCCAGGCTATGTCCTTGGGCCTTCCACCCACGACGGAATCGGATATGAGCCAGGCAAATCGACCCCCAGGTGAAGATGGATGACAGCCCAGAAATGGCCAGCATCCAGTTGAAGGCATCTTCTTGCTTATCAGATGCTGCCAGGAATGCAAGAAGACCTAGGACTGATGCAATGCCTTGTGCAACAAGAGGACGGCCTTTGCGGTCGATATAGGCCAGGATTTTAGGTGCTTGACCCTGTTCAGCCAAAGCAGCTAGGGTTCGCGACGACCCATAAACAGATGAGTTACCCACAGACAAGACGGCAATCATGATCACAACATTCATGACAGAATCAAGACCAGAAATGCCAGCGTTCTTAATGGCAATTACAAAAGGAGATGCCCTAGCATCTGCTGAGGAACTCCCTGATGTCAACTGATCATCGTTATACGGGACTAAGAGCCCGACTAGGGTGAGGGAGACGAGATAGAAAAGCAAGATACGCCAAAACACCTGCTTAATCGCCGTTGGGAGACTCTTCCGGGGATTCGCAGCTTCAGCTGCAGCAAGACCAACCAGCTCCGTACCGGCGAATGCGAAGGCTGCATTGACGAATACACTGCAAAGACCCTTGAAGCCATTGTGAAATGCGCCTGGATCATGCCAATATCTCCCGCCGATATAGCCGCCTCTCGGACCTCCGCCGCAGTTTAGGATAATACCGAGGATGCTAATTCGCTTGTGAGTACAGTTCATGAACACAAAGCAATGAAAGAAGGACATGCTTACATAAAGCCAAGCACAGCAATAACCTTGATCATTGAGAAGACAAACTCCGCCTCACCGTATCCCTTGACGCCAAACATGTTGATGACCACTATCATCACCCAGAATATTGCAACCCAGGCAGCGTTCGAAATGTTCGAATCCCAATAGTCAATGGTGATTGAAGCGGCAACGATTTCTAGGGGGAGAACAATGAGCCACTAGAGAATTAGGGTTAGTTTCTGTACAATCTGATGCCTTTTGCATTGCTGGTAGGAAAGCCACGAGAAGCTGAAATCAGATAGGAATCATGCTTGCCACCATACCTGCATAGCATAATTCCACCCCATAGCGAAACCCCATGAGCCGTCAATAAATCGAGTAGAATAGCTTGCGAACGATCCTGCAACAGGAAAGAGGACAGCCATCTCACCCAGGGCGTGAACGGTGCAGTATAACATGACGCCGATTAACCCGTAGGCGATAAGGACGGAAGCCGGGCCGCCGGTAGATAAGACGTTTCCCGAGCCGACAAAAAGACCGGTACCTAGAAAGCAAGTTAGTCAATGCATCAATCTCTTCATTATTGCCCTCATAGACAGACCAATGCTCCCCCCCAAAGCTATCATCTGCATGTGGCGACCCTTGAGACGACGCTCTAGAGGTGAGTTTGCCGTGTTTTGGGCAGCAATTTCAGGGTCTACATTGCTTCCATCTGTTGGGGGTTGTTGGTTGATTTGCGCATTAGGGTTTCGCTTGAAGCTGTCCAAAAACCGCTGGCCGAGATTTCCTCGAATAGGTTCTGACTCGCCGTAGCCTGGAGGCGGATCGCCGGACCCTGTTCTGATTGTTTTTGGCTCTATCGCGTCTTTCTCCATGGTGCGATGTGATGTTGTGGGGTGGATGGTTTAGGATTTGAGCATGGACAACGCGGCTGGGGGTTTGACAATGCTTTTTGTTTGCAATAAATCCAATATCTTAAAACAAGTGCTGGAGAAAGAAGTAAATAAGTAATAGTAGTGATAATGAATAAATTAACGAAAAAAGAGATGAAGGTGCATGACGGGGAAATCCCGGTATAAGTATGGCCGACCAGTCGCGGGAGATAACGCACTATTATCATCAGTAATTGTACCGTATCGTGTTTCGCCTCTTCCCACCGGGAGATTAGCAATAACAATACCGCTTTAGATTAGATTTCGTTTGAACCAAGCACAGTCCTCGTGAGAAACTAAGGAATTGTCTCACAGACAACCTCGCCTCTGCCCGGGCATTGACCGCATTGAGAGCACTAAGAGCCGTACCAAGCCGTTGGATCTATGGGAGCAAAATATAGAAGCAACAATAATTGGTGAGAACACAGCAATCTGTATGAGATTATCTTCGCACAGCTGCCTCGGTACACCTGTAGCCCAATCATCTCTCTAATATAACCGGACCGGCTATGCGACCAGCCATATCAAAGCTAGTTCATGGTTTATTCCAAAGGCTACCTGCAACTATGCAAGTGTCACGCGCTTGGTTCTGTGCCGTATGATCTAAGTATATCATTATCGCTCGTGTAAACCCTCTCAAAACGCTGCTTATCGGTGCTTCAGCTTTTCGCCAATAACCAGTATCATGACTAATGACTCCGATTGGTTTTAACTGCTATCAAACAACATGATATACGAGAATAAACCAGGGGTATGTAGCTGTATGCCTCCCGGTGGCACTGTTGGTTATCAGTTGTAGTGGCGGACTAGTCCTAGTCGGGTATCTATCCCCGCTTGACACCTCTGCGTATAAAGGTTTAGCCAATCATATTGCGTAGACGCAGACTACGTTCCCGTGCTCAAGATAAGAGCGTTCTTAGCGGTTTCATTGGAAGAAATATAAAGTACTTTGTATGGAGGGGTTCTAGCGAACGGGGGAGACTTAGCCACGAGTCTGGCAGGTAGGGCTCGTGCGCGCCACATGGTCTGTTCTCAGATGCTCAGAGCTGTGCTACTTTGTATGCACCCCGGCGTACTTCGGTCAGAGTAACACAGAATATGGTATTCTTCGACCGTTCCGGAGATGCAGAAAGAAAGGACGCATTGAAGGCCAGTAGTGGGTTGAGAGGTAAACGGCATAAGCAAGTGGCTGTCATGGACCCAACGAGGCTCGCTCCTTTAACACTAACAGCTGCCTGCTAGCCGAGATTCAAGATGTGCACGTGTGTCTGTCTCTTATATTTACCCCAACAGGTCGCCTTTGCAGCTCTACCCCTTCTCTGGGGAAGGAGGGACGCAATTACTCCAGTAGTATGCATGCTTTTGAAAGGCTCCTCACTAGCAAATGAGTCGATATGGGAATCTGCCTCGGGCAATTCCTATGTGGAGAGACCACTTAAGCTTACCCGGGGTACTTTGACGAATCGTAACAAAATGCAATTGATCTGCCATTATAGCTTCTCTATATGAAGTCGTTCAATCATCACCAGCAACGTTCTTTTGATCATAGTGAACAATTAAATTGAAACATGTCTTTAGGCGCCTGGCCCTTCTCCTCCGGGGATCAACTGAACATATAAGTTAGCTTCCTGGGCGTATAAAAACAGCCATAGTCAAGCCTACCATGCAGATATTGTTCCCGTTCAGCAAGATCTTGGGAAGCTGGGATTTGCCACCGGCGTAATCACTATCCCATGTTAATTAACGTACATGACACTGGCTCAGAAAGACACTCACAATTCAGTCACATCTTCCAGGACCATGTCTAGCCGCACATCAGTAAACGGTCATTTTTTCATAAGACATGAAAGAAGCTACTTACTGACGTAGTCATCGAATCCGAGCAATGTCCCAGAGAACTCTGTGCGGTCATTAGCTTACAGCGTTCGACTTTCGCGACCATTCCGCTGAAAGGGCGAGAATACACACCCTTGTCACCCTTCATGACCACCCAAATTCTCGAGCCGACGCACTTATCAATCAACTCTGTTCACGAGGTTAGCGGCAATACTCGCGGATATCAGATATTTGCACGAACCCAAAGGAAGCAGTTGCGACGCCATCTTCTCTGAAATGTGCGAAACTTTTCAATGATCTGCAATTATATATCCTGATAATAGGCGTCGACTGATATGCTTGGACAAAACGCAATATAAAGCTGTTGCGGTCCCTCAATGTCCCATCGGACATCTTGGCGTATGTCCGGTTGATCTCTTTATCCGACACCGATGTTTAGTCCAAATCTGGTTTAGCGCTATTTAGCGCTCGATCACTCCACATGAATTGTACGCTTACTCCGAGTACATCTTTTCAGGTACTGTTCCTGCCAGGGGTAGGGATACTTCTATATTATATTTGTAATTGAAAAAGCCGGTTACTCCTGCTTTCTTCTATTTTCCTATGCCTGCTCGAATAGCCGATCTTTATACAGCCCCGGAAATCAGCAACACTTTCGTGGCTTTGTCCATTGACGAGAAACACATGGCTGAGTCTGGATCGAGGAACTATTGATATCTCCTACCTACTTGCGATTAGCTGGGATTTTCAGGGCAGCAAGGTCCAGATATCATGCGCTTTTATCGATCGGTGGACGTTATGAAGTCATGGAATGGGAGGATCTTATTCAATGCTTCAGGGATTCAGAATGCGAATTTGCTTGCGTCGAGGAGACCATACGACAGCTGGACCATTGGACCCATATGTCGAAATTCTGCTGTGTTGAACAAGGAGCCTGTTGGAGGTCGCCAGAGTCATGTCACAGCACATGGCTTGCGCCGTCCGTCTAGAAATGGAGGAGAAACGTGCGCTTTTCAGCTTATGAGCAGATCATATAGCACGGGGTCTGCTGCATTCTCAGTTGCTGAACACGGAAATGGACCCCCGTCCGAGTCTTTAGAGACTCATAAAATCACGCAAACCACGTCTTCTGTGTATAAGAATCAGACACAACAGACTGTCACGACAGGGACCGTGGCGCGACAGCGAGTCACTGCGAATCCAATTTCACCTAAACCTCCTGCAACAAAATACTGGAGTCATCATTTGCACAAAGCTCCAGACGGAAACCCAATCATAATCCATTACTGCAGAAGTCTCCGAACAATGGAAGACGTGGCTCAGTACTTCCTGGACGACGAAGTAATAGGATTCGACATGGAATGGAAAGCCCAAGCCACATATGCCGACGGCATCAAAGACAACGTTTCCTTGATCCAAATCGCAAGCAAAAAGCGAGTCGCGCTGTTCCACGTTGCCTCCTTCATAGGAACGGAGCCCGAACATTTTGTTGCGCCTTCACTACGCCAGATTATAGAATCGCCCAATATCACAAAAGTCGGCGTTCATATCAAAGCAGATTTTACACGTCTACGCAGATACCTCGGGGTCAACGCCCGAGGCATTTTCGAACTCAGCCATCTGCACAGACTAATCAAATACTCCCAATCGCAGCCGAAACTTGTCAACAAGCGCCTGGTCAATCTCAACGACCAGGTGGAGGAGCATTTTGGGCTGCCTTTGTTGAAAGATACTGAAGTACGATGCAGTGACTGGACCCGTCCTTTGAACTATGATCAAGTTCAGTATGCTGCGAATGATCCGTATGCTTGCATCTGTTTGTTCAAGGCTATGGATGGTAAACGACAAGCGATGATCCCTGTGCCTCCACGACCGGCACATGCGGAATTAGATTTGCCAATTCGCCTTGTGGAGGAAGCGCAAAAGGCGACTGTGGCTGAAGAGGAGAAAGCAGCCGCAGAGCTCGATGGTAGTACGGATTCAAACGTTGGTGGGAAGGCCATATAGGTCCCTGTCGTGCTGGATATAAAGATTGGAAGCTATATATGGGGTTTTGGTGATTTATGGCGTTTTTATGGCATTGTTCTCTTTTTGCATATCACGAAGACTAGATTGGCATGCTCAGATACCAGATACCCTGCATTACATATGGACATACGACTTTTTGAAAACTGAATGATGATTATGAGATTATCTACATCTGAACACGTCTAAATAGGCTACATTCTAAATACACTGCATTATGCCACAAAGATCGGGGTATATATGGTCAAGTGAATATACGAGGCTGACTTTCCAAGACCAATCACGAGAAACAAACATTGTACAGGTCTACCCTCTTAGAGGGAGAACCTTGGAAAGAATCACATCCTGTCGACAAAGAGGACACTCAGGCTTCTCACGCGTCCAGTCCCTCACGCAAGTCCAGCAGAAGACATGTCCGCAGGTCGTGACACTGGGATCCTTGAAGAGTTCCAGGCACAATGTGCACCTGCTCTGCTGACCTGGTGGGATCCAGGGCACGGCATCCGCGTCCTCGCCCAGGTCGTACCGAGGCATAGACGCGGGGAGATTAGGGAGGGGAGATGGATTCTCAATCGATGGGATGACAGAATCGTCTCGTTTCTCAGTAGACTCCAGCATCTCGGACTCCAGTTCCGGGTTTTCTTGCTGTTGCTTCAGGCTAGCGGTGACCTTCCTGACGTGAGAGACACCATGCACGGCGATCTGTAGGACGAGCAGAACACCCAGGACTTCATAGCCAACACGCTGCTCATTCTCCTCAAGCTTCTTTGTGAACACGTAGCGGAGGTTCCAGAACCTCTTGGCGAGGTGGTAATACGAGCCGGTGAAGTAGAACGTCGCGATGCTGAGAGCGTAAACAGGCGAGACCGAGGTTATCGAGTCCAGATGCTCGAGGATGTATTTCTGAACCCTCAACTTCGTGATCAAGGGGCGTTTCTCCTGCTTTCCTTTTTCCTTCCCGGGCAGCACTGGTTGCTGCGCAGCCGCCTGTTGAGCTTTGAATTGTTGCCGGGCAACACTTCGTTCCAGCTTCGCGCGTAACCGCCGTCGAAAAGCGGGAAGAATACGCTGGAGAACCCAGGGAACCACGATGCTGCTCAGAATGTATCCCGCTCTGCGGATAGTCGACGGAAGTTGAAGGGTGTCATCCTCCAGCTGAACGAGGTCGCAGTATTCCTCTCCCAGTGTTCGGTTACCGATCAAGGTCGTTAACGAGAAGTACAGGATCTCTGTCAGGTGTTTGATGGAGTCGGAATGAGCGTGAGCGAATCGGGCTCCACGGAGTGAACGGGCAATGTTCTGGGCTTGATTGATCAAGCTCCCTGTGATGAAGCCATCCTTCTCATGAGAGCGGATGATATCCGGAGATGTTGCGAACGGGTAGAAATGGGCCGAGGGAGAGGTGGGAATCGTGGAAAGGTCTTCGTCTGCCATGTCTGCTCAGCCTGAGAGAAGCTCGCGTATAGAGTTTTATATTATTATCTCTTCAAGGTCATTTCATTGTCTCTGTTCTCCTCACCGTGACCGCATTGCCAGCGGTCTAAGATGCCTCGGCAATGTGTCCCGTGACTGGCGTCACCTGACCGCGCATCACGTGGGGAACCCCGATCCAAAAATGGCACAGAGTCCAGACCCGCTAACCGGAACAGGAAAGGGTCCCAAAGACAACGTGAAACCCCGACTCGTCCCTGAAGCTTCACGACTGCAATGATTGTGATTCCCAGTGCCACCACTCACCCCTAGTCGCTCTTTTGCCATTGTTCTGTTGCTTTTCTTTTCTTTCTTCTCTTATTCTTCTTTGGGGTTTTTTTGCCGGATTTTTCTTCTTCGCGTTTCCGTTTCTTCCTTTTCCTCCTTCCTTCTCCCCCTATCTCGGCGCTGTTCTTCAGCTCCGCATCGTCAATGGAATATGGGCCCTGATCAACATGCTCAATTGGACGATTTCAGTCTCTTCCTTCCTTTTCCCTATCGTGTCGCGGTGATATTGGTGGCTGGTATGTGTGTCTACTCTCGGTAGTGTCCGATTTTCGATATTCAGCCTTATTGATTATCTGTCGTGATGGCCAGGTTTCTGGGGCTGGGGTGTCAATCTCCACTACCTCCGAAAAGCGAACATCGTGGGTTTATCCGACATCCGCGCCTAATAGGTCATGCAATTGAATTGAGATTGACTGATTTTCTGTATAGGATGTCCCTGCGCTGATCCGATACCCTGCCCGTCAATCCCCTCAACAACCCCCTCACTACTCCTCCGCCTACCGTCTCGCGAGACTCTTGACCCTCCCTCTCGTCATCACTCTCTTTATATTCTGGGTGGCCACCCATGGGTCTGCTCACCTCGTTGAGCTGTTGGATTTCATCCCGCAGGCATACATCGTGAGCTTCTTTGTGATCATCGCGCTGCCATTCAACCGCGTCTGCAAGGCCGGGAAACGCCATTTCCTCTTGTCGCTGAGACGAGTTAGTGTTGGAGGACTCGCGGAGGCCCAGGACGGCAAGTTTGGAGATATTCTCCTGGCGGATGCCTTGACCAGTTACGCCAAGGTCATTGCGGATCTATACGTGACCTTTTGCATGTTCTTCGCGCGGGGGATTTCGAGCACGTCGAAGCCGAATCGTACCTGCGGACACGACTACATCGTGCCCATCATCATCGCCATTCCCAGCATTATCCGGTTCCGACAATGTTTGATTGAATACATCCGTGTCCGTCGCGCTGGTGCGACGAGGGAAAACAGGGGTTTCCAGCACTTGGCAAACGCGTTGAAGTACGCTACTGCGTTTCCGGTCATTTATCTTAGTGCCAAGTTGCGGAATTACAGTCCTCTGGTGTTCTATGGATATAGCGAGATGGATCTGGCTCGGCTATTGTATGCTACTTGTGACTCTTTTTTGAAAACCATTGCTAACAGCTAGCAGACTCATTTGCACCATTATCAACTCTGCCTACACATTCTGGTGGGATGTAACCAAAGATTGGGATTTGACCCTCTTAACCGGGTCGCGTGACACATCGGAATACCCGTATGGACTGCGGCGCCACCGTTACTTCTCCTCTGACCGATTATATCGCTCCGCAATTCTCATTGACCTGGTTCTCCGATTCTCGTGGGCTTCCAAATTCGTGCCGGGTTTGCTATGGCTCACAGAGCGGGAATCTGGCCTCTTTGTCCTCATGTTCCTCGAAGTTGCACGGCGATGGATGTGGGTTTTCTTTCGGGTAGAGGCCGAATGGGGTAAGACTTGCGCTGCTCTCTTTGTTTCTTGGTCGCATTTTTGCCCGTTGTTTCAACGTGGTATTAGCGGTCTTTCTTGCGCTTCTGTTTACTAACGGTTTGGCCCCACAGTGCGAAGCCATCGCGGTCCAGCCCCCGACGATATCCTCCTTGGTGAATTCACCGGTAAATTGGACGCAGATTAAATCTCACCAGTGTATGATCGGATCCGCCAATTCAACGACTTTTCCTTTATACTTTTTTTTTTTTTTTACCCTTTGCTGATTCGCGAATGTTATATTCTCTTCTGTTAATATTAGGTCTGGCTTTTCTTCTATTATTTCTTTATATGTCTCTTTATATTCCTCCTTTGAGATGACCGGGAATTCGCGAGATATGTTTGTTTAGGGCAGTGGAGTAGTGCGTGGCTTATGCATATAAAATTGGGCAATAGTTTTCTTTGTTTTTTTT